GGCGGGAATCGAACTCATGCAGAAGTGGCTTTAGCTTCTTAGTGCTGTGCTTTAACCCGCTGCGCCACCAGGGAGGGCCTAATTTATTTATTTTAAATTAAAATGTTTTTTATTATATTCATTACATCATTTTTCATTTTTGTACAATGTATGATTTCACTGTGAAATTCTCACCACCAATTCACCCGTATACCATCACATAGTCCATTGTGCTCTTCCCACTCCTGTCCTGAATCTTATCTCTCCTTTTCCCTACAGAATGTCTCTGATCTATAGTTGCCTAATGATTTTGCCTTTTACTTTATTATAGTTACTCTTTTTTTCTCATCCCTTATTTAAACTCTCTGTATTTCTCCTATAAGTGAGACCATTTGTTCTTTTTCTTTCTGGCTAATTTGACTGGCAAAATCCCTTCCAGCTCCAATCATGTTGCTGCAAAGAGCATGAATTTATCCTTTTTGATTGCTGAGTAATATTTCAGTGTGCAAATACACCGCATCTTCTTGATCCAGTCATCTAATTTTGGGCCTTTGGGTTGCTTCCATAGCTTACTTATTGTGAATTGTGCTGCTGTTATATAGGGGTGCAGTTGTCCTTCTAAATTAATGTTTTTATCTCCTTTGGGTAGATTGCTAGGAGTGGAATTACTGGATCATATGGAAGCTCCATTTTTAGTTGTCTGAGGAACCTCTACACAGCTTTCTGTAGTGGTTGGAGACCCTACTCTATTTAAACTTTCTTTTTTAATTGACTTTTTATGACACTTCTTTGGCAGAGACAGGGAGTTGCTACACATTACGACCAGATAGGATGGGGTCTCCATTTGATGTCTGTTGACACCCCACGGGTGGTATTCTCGTTACTTCTGGGAAGGGCTGGAAGTTCTGGCTTCCCTTATGGCATGTACTGACAGTGGTGGTGGGGTGACCTTGTTATTGCTGAGTGATGGTTAAAGCCTTGACTTTCCTCTAGCCCTCTTCTAATGCCATCTCACTAGGAAGAGGCAGGAGCAACCTGGTATAGACTTGTAAGCGTGGAAAATAAGCTCCTCACTTGGTCTTGCTGATGTGGATATTAGTGAACCAGTTTTTTCATTGTTATTTGCCTGGAATAGAGCGCTCGTTGTCTAAATGTTTTCTTTTGTGCTAGGCTGCCTCTCTCCTGATCTTTTGGCTAGAGAGAACAGACTTTTGGGGGCATGTTTTTTGTCTGGACCCTCTGGTGCATCTGGGTTGTTGCCTTCTTTACTTCCAAGTCTGGAACACTTGGAGAGAAAGAAAACCAGGAAATTATCCCCTTTGTTTGCCTGGTCTGTTGGTATCTACTTACTCTGCCTATTCTCTCCTTCTTTTAATCTTACGTTATTTTTTTTATACAGTGCAGGATTTTAGCTGTTTTCAATGGGAGGAATAGGAAAAATATGTGCTTCATTTTTCTGTCAGCCAAAGTCAGAATTCATTTTGAACATGTTAGGTTGAAATGTTAGTCATCCAAAAAGAGATATCAAGTAGGTAATTCAATGTATGAGTCTAGAGTTCTGATAGCTCATAGAAGTTCTCTTCTGATGGTTTCATTTTTTTTTTTTTAGTTAAAAAGTGATGTCATTATTTGCAAATAAAGATAACAGAAGTTTTAGAAATTGAGGACAGAGGAAAAGTCAGTGGTTCCTAAGGTAGCTGCAAGAATGTGCATGGACTTGGAAAATATAATATAATTACCAGCAGCATTGCATGCACACTTGGATTTTTGGCATTGTATTTTAAATGAATGAAAACAGTGACATAGTTGTATACTTATTTCCAGCCATGTTCAGCTACTTGGTACAGATTGGGATTAGTCGGAGAGTTTGATATAATTCAAGATGTACATGGTTCAAGAAGTACATGGTTCAAAATGATCTAGGGGGAAGGGAATTAAAGGTGAATATAAGAGAGAGCTAATGATTGATCACAGAATTGAATCTTGATGAAGTGGAAAGGATGTGTATCAGATAAAGGTAGCTATGAGGGACTGAAAAGGTAGGATCAGAGAAATGCAGGTCCTAATGGGTTCAAAATACAAGGGAATGAATTACTGATAGATATGTGGGAGGCCGTGCCAATGAGTGGGATGCATGAAATTGAGGTTATGGATGAGTTGTCATAATAGGTAATGACCAAGGAGTGAGAGGTTAAGATATGGGGAAGGGTTGACTCATGAGAAGAGATAAGTACAGGATTTTGAAATTCAAACAGGAGTGCTTGGTGTGCTCACTTCGGCAGCACATATACTAAAATTGGAACAATACAGAGAAGATTAGCATCGCCCCTGCGCAAGGATGACATGCAAATTCGTGAAGCATTCCATATTTCTTGAAAACAATGAACAACTATAAACCTTAGACATTTTATGGGGGTGGACGGGAGAATGGGATCAGAAGTGGGGTGGGAGAATGCACTGGACTGTGGTGATGGCACACAGGTGAATTGGTGGTGGGAAGCCCATGGGGATTACAATTGAGAAGAAAAAATGCACAAAGTGAAGAATGGTGTAAAAAAAATGTATATATATATATAATGTATAATATATATATACATTAACAAACAATAAAGTTAAAAAATAAAGTTCATAATCAGAATAAAAGAAACCAAATAAACAGGAGTGCTTGGATAGAGTAAATTCTAGAGCCAGAAGCTAAAATTTTGAGAATTATGGACCATGACCCACGAGTTGGTGGATGAAAGTTAGGAGATGATAACTGATGACAGGAGAATTATAGGAGAGGAATGGAGAAATGGTATAGAAGGGGTTATCCTGCACCCGAAAGAGAACCCTTCTCCATCTCCAGATTCAGACTCTTCAGTGCAAGGATATGGGGGAAAGAAGAGTTATTAATTAAAAGGATGTGGGCCAGTGTGTCCTTAAGAGAGAACCAGGTTTTCATTATAACAAGAAAGGGAAGGATGAAAGAACGGGTTTGCTGATGACTGAATTCTAGGGTACAGTGGATCAGTTTCTGGATGTAGAGAGGGTTGGGTCATGGGGACAAATTATAGCCATTTTTTATAAAGATAACATAATTACCCCAAAAGTCAGGCATAGAAAAATAGTATTTTAAAAAGTAAAGTTAGGCTAGTTGACTCCAAGTTATTTTAAAATTTAAAATTAATTTTCTCACATTTTGGCAGGAAAATGAAATATGTCATAGAAATAGAATTTTTAAATGTCTGAATCACAACTAAATTGAAGTGATAAATATAAAAATTCTTGTAATGGCTTTCTGAATAATATACTCAATTGTAGGCCTTGTTTATTTCTTCCAGTGAAAAATTCCAAGGAACCAACTATTGAAAATAAAAGTTTAGAAAAAAAAATAAAAAATTTAAGAGCGTTTACTAGTGTAATAAAATTACCAATTTACGATATTTTTCTGATAGAGTCCATTAGCTTTTTTCCCCTACATTAAATAGATGTCACACACAAATTAGTGTGTGTTCACAAAAAGAATTGTCTGGCAGATTGCTGATTCTTGTGCATGTTTGTGAGAGCCTAGGAATGATATAGTTTAATTTTACTCCTATAAAATATTTTACTTTAATTTGACAGACTTTATGAGTATTTTTAGATTTCATGTCACAGCTTTTTTTTTTTTTAAAGTATAACATGTGTTCTTGAAATTCTTCAACAGCTGTTATGTTAGATTATAAAACATTGTCTTCCAGTCACTTAGAAATGCTTTCTACAGCTTGCTTATAGCTTCTTTTGAATTTGGTCTATTGCATTGAAAGTATTTAGGTTCAAATTTCACAAGGAGTAGTAGACCTGCCTTGACTAGGATAAACCACCTCCCTATTCTGGGAATGGGGTAGAGTGTTAGAATTTGGGCAAGAATTGGTGAAGTCCAATCTCTTATTGAAATGAAAACACAAGGGGTGGGGGGAGATTGGTAGGAGCTGTTGTGAATTAAAATCTGATCTCTCTCTCTCTCTTTTGGTGACAGGCTATGTAATGCAATAGGTCTTTTATGCTACTTAAGTTGCTGCTGTTTGGCAAGAAATTGCCATCTGATGAGTAGCTTTTAAAAAAATTAATTGGAGGGTTATATATTTGCTCTCCATGTATTCAAGTGTTCCACTCACTTTCCAACATACCTCTCATGCCCATACCCCATCTGCTTCCTTTCCTCACCCTCTGTTCCTCTGGTAACTATTATATTTTACTGAGTTCAAGTTTATTCCTACTGTATTTTGCCTGTGTGTTTTTTTTTTCCCCTACAGATGAGTGAGACCATCTGATATCTTTCATTTTTTTATTTAGTTCACTTAACATAATCTCCTTGAGGTCTGTCCATTTTGTTCTAAATGCCACTATCCCATCTTTTTCAAAGTTGTGTGGTATTCCACTAAATATGTAGCTCACAATTTCTTTATCTGTTTTTCTGTTGTAGAATACTTAGGTTGGTTTGTTGACTTGGTAATTTTGGTTAGTGCTGATATGCACGTGGGTATGGATAAATCTTTTTGTCTTAGAGTTTTCATATTATTTGGATAAATACCCAATAGATATATTGCTGGATCATATGGAATTTTCGTTTTTATTTTCCTAAGAAATTTCCATATTGTATCCCAAAGGTTACACCAGCTTACATTCCTAAAGGGGCTAGGGTGGTAGTTCCTTTTTCACAGTGGATGGTAGTTTCTTTTTTACCACATCCTGACCAATATTTGTTGATTCCATTCTTTTTTATAAGGACCAGTTACACAGGGGTGAGGTTGTATCTCAATGTGGTTTTGATTTGCCTTTCTCTTATACTATGTGGTGCTGAACACTTTTTCCAAGTGTCTGTAGGACATTTGAATGTCTTCTTTAGAAAAGTATCTGTTTAGGTCCTTTGCCCATTTTTTGACTGGGTTTGTTTTGTTGTTGTATGAGCATTTTGGAGGTTAGCCCCTTGAATATTTGACTAAGAAGTTATATAACTGATCTTTGGCTATTAAAACTTACTAGCTAATTCTCAATTACTGGATTTTAGCAAATTACTGGAATTTAGCAAATTACTGGAATTTAGCAATTACTGGAATTTAGCAAAGAGAAATGATAGTGAAAATCTGCTCCTAGCTTGGAGGAGAGAAAATTGGATATTCAGTTTAATGTTCTTTGTTCATTTATTTTAGCTCCATCACAGACTAATTCAATGAACCAAACTGCACTCAAGACAAATGTTTCTGCTGTAAACACTAATGCTTTAACATTTGAAAACCAAACCAAATCATCTATTGCCCAAATCAGTACCACTCTCCCTCCCCCAAGGAGTACCGAGAAAAGTGGAGGGACATCTGTGACCCCTCATCCCTCACCTACTACTTCTCTGGCCCAAGAGGAAGCTGGCAACAATGAAGATCCAAGCATAGAGGAAGAAGATCCTTTCATGCTGAATAGTTCTCCATCCACTGCCAAAGGCACTGTAGACAATGGCGATTATGAAGAACCTTCAGAATATGACTGGTCCACCAGCTCCACCAGGGATGATAAATTCACTGAGGCCTTGGAAGAAAACAGGCATTATATGGGAAGTGAACAGTCAATGAGATCTTTTAAGACCCCATCTTCAAACATAGAAGAGGAAGATAGCCATTTCTTTTTTCATCTTATTATTTTTGCTTTTTGTATTGCTATTGTTTACATTACATATCACAACAAAAGGAAGGTAAGTGGGGTTTTTCAACACCTCTGGTTGCCCTTTATTATCTGTCATTTTTATTAATGCTTTTGGTCAACTTTTTTTCTTAGTTGTGTTTAAATTGAATGTAAAGTATTGATATCTAATCAGTTTATAAACCTGTAGTTTATTTCAACAAATTATAGACAGAATGCTATATATTACATGTGCTTCTAAAAAGACAAATTAATTTTTAATGAACAAGCCACAGTCCAGTGATTTTTTTTGTTTTATGTCAATTTAGCATTGCTACTTCAGTGGGAATACTTGCAAAGGAATATAAAAGTAATTTAATAAATACTATTAATTTATTAAACATTGAACTCAGTCACATTTTAGTAACTTTCTTTTCAGGTTATAAAAATATTACATGTTTATTTTAGGGAATGAGAACACATAGAAAAAAATTGGAAAAAAATTTAAGCTATTCCCCAAAGCTGAGCATTATTCACATTTTGATATATTTCTGGTCTATAAATATGTATATATATATATATTTCTGAATATTCAGTGTCACAAACAAGGAATCATTTTTTACCTATACTTTTAGAGCCAGATTCAGTATGTTGTCATTATTAAATGAATGAGTTTTACATCTTGCTTTTAAGCTAAAATCTGGTATTTTTCAAGATCATTAATATTCCTTAACAACATAATTTAACAACCACATAATAATAATTATTTTTTTAAAGATTTATTTATTTATTCATACAGAACTGGGGTACAGGCCAGAGATGCGGAGGGTGAGAGGATTCATCAGAGGCAGAGTGGGGAGCAGAACAGGCAGATTGACGAAGTACATTGCTGAGGGGAGCAGCGGGCGTGTCAGGAGAGGTCTGCTGCGCCTTAAGGGTCACCTCGGGGCTGGATTGAACTCATGCGGAAGTGGCTTAAGCTTCTTAGTGCTGTGCTTTAACTTGCTGCGCCACCAGGGAGGGCCACCACATAATTATTTAGCAATTTTCCCATGGGATGCTTTGGATGGTTTCTAATGTTTGGTTGGAAACAATATTGTGATGAACATTTCTGTACTATCTGGGCTTATTAGGTTATTTTAGGCAAAGGGGCATAGAACGCTGCGTAGACAAGGTTGCTTAGGAGCAACTCTGCTGTTTAGTCCTGGAGTTGGATAGTAAACTCTTTCAAATACTTCATGGGAGAGCAAACACAGTGTCTTTTTTAGTGCTTACTGGTCAGTAAATCTCAGTTCTTGACTTTATATAATCACTTGGTTGGTGATTTCTGGCATTGCCTTCCTCTTTGGGGCCTTGATTTTTTCACCTGAGAAATAATAAACTTGAACCTGATAATTTTAAAATGCTCCCCAGCTTTGAGAATTATTGGTTTTAATGTCTTGTCTGTGCTTTTGAGTTAGCATACAAGCAGACAGTTATTTCGTTTTTTTGTGGGTTAGTACAAAGTTTCAAATGCCAGTGATACTGCATTCCAGGTTTGTATTGGACGGTCTCTTTTATAAACTCTACACAGGTAGGTTCCTGGGGCTCCACTCAGTCTACTAACTCACCTCTGAGGGCAGAGCCCAGGAGTCAGTCTTTAACAAGTACTCCAGTGTGCATATAACATTTTAGAAGCATTGCTTAGTCTTGCTTATAAGAAGGGAAAAGAAATAGCCCTTTTGTCGTTGTTGTTTTCTTTTGTATTTTAAAATCCAGGAAAGAGAGGTTTTAATTGTTATAAAAAGCTTTAATGTATCCTCCATTTTCTTTCTTGCATAACTAACTTTGTTTTATTCTAGATTTTCCTTCTGGCTCAAAGCAGGAAATGGCGTGATGGCCTTTGTTCCAAAACAGTGGAGTATCATCGTCTGGACCAGAATGTTAATGAGGCAATGCCTTCTCTGAAGATTACCAATGATTATATTTTTTAAAGCACTGTGATTTGAGTTTGCTTATTATGTGATTTTATTTGCTTGACTTTTTATATGATACCATATAGATGTTTGTCATAAGCAATTGGTACTTAAATGAGAGGTGGATCTCTCTTTATTTTGCCTTGGTGCTTTGGAAATTCAGTGTCACAAACAAGGAATCATATTTTACCTATACTTTTAGAGCCAAGTTCAGTCAAATTTCCAAAATGTGGAGCTAAGCATGACTTGTTAGTTCTGGTTGTTTTAGGTTTTTACTGTACTTTTGCTGGAAGTACTAGTAATGCCCAAACTTGTAATTGAAATCTAACATATCTGGCACTTCTGTCTCAGATTTTCTTTCTTCCACCCAAATACTATTGCTTAAGCACACATTTGTTTGTGCTTCCAAACTGTAATCTGTAAGGATGTATGTAATAATGCTTTGCATATAAGTAAAATTGTTTTTCAGGAAAATTGATTTTGGATAAATCAAACATAATGTAATGATATTGCTCAATTTGACTACAGTTTTAGGTAACATTAATAAATGTGTCTGAAAGTTCTGACAATAAGGAATCTGCCGTGGATGTAGTTAAATTGTTAAAAGATATCCTTTTCTGGTATGAATTTCTGAATTAGATTTAGAGGTAGGAATTGTGATAAAATATTAAATTCAATTGTTTTTACTTCACTATTGATTATAGATAGCATGGGTTCCTCCAAGCTTAAAAGCAAAGGACAGAGTTTAAAATTATATTGGGTGTGTTCACTTTATTATTTTATAGTAAGTTTGAGTAAATCTTAGGGGACTTAACATAATATTGTATTAAGGTCTTTCAAGTTGAAATTATACCTGAATGAAGTTTGTATAAAGAAAGGATCTGTGTATACACTGTTCCCCCTTGAGTTTGTTTTATTTTTTAATTTCTTTTAATGGCAACTGGAAATTATTTACTGTATTTTATGTTAGTCTTTCTACTTTTAAGAATTGATGTAAATATGTAATTTAAACCATGGTTGACTTTCAGATGTCACTGCAACTTTTTAGAAAATGTGACCCCTAATATATGTTAAGTGCCCACCTACAAAGCTTAGGTGAGCCAGTGGGCATGTGCTTTGTTGTCAAGGTGGAAGAAGCAGGGCACTCCATTTCTCTCGGTGGGCCTTGTACTGTCCTAACAAGGAAGGGAAGCGCATGGAAATGCACCTGAACTGTTTTATTGCAGTAATTTTTTTCATATCTGAAATTGTATTATTTAATATTTTGAATAAGATTTTAAAAAATAAATGGTAAAGATATAAATCCATGATTTTATGTGTGTTGTTTTATTGATGGTATAGATTCTTTCATTTAGCTCATGAACAGGGAAATGCTATGTCTGGGAGCAGGCTAAGCTGGCAAACTTCCTTTAGTTCTTTTTAGCAGTAGAACTCTGCCTCTCTGAGTCCCACTGACATCTGTAAATCCTAGTTTAGGTCCAATTTAGGCTTTGTGCTGAAGTTTATTGAAAACTCTGCCAAAGTAGAAATGCAAGGAAGATACAGAGGCTAAATCCTAGTATCCTGCCTAGTATCCTGGTCTCCTTGTCTCTGCCTTTTGAAGACTCTCCCAACCACACAGTTCTAGGTTCTTGGGCACTTGCTGGTGGTACAGGGTATGGGTGGAGCAGGGTTTTCTGTGTGGAAGAACGCTCTAACGTGTCCACATTCTGCCATTTTCACAGCGTCACATTGAAAGCAAAGCACTTGGTCTCCTTTTATTTGGGCTGTGGTGTGAGCTGGAGACGACAGTAGGTCAACATAGCTTTGTTTTGGTGGTGCACACTGTCAGGCAGTGAAGACAGACAGTCCCAGAAGCAAGTTAGATGCCGAAAACTGGATTTCACTTTAGTGTCTTCACAAAAAAGGTAAGTTGGACTTAGTACAATGGCTGCTAACACTTCGTGAGGGCTCACTGGGAGAGCACGGCAGTCCAGTGAGGTAGTTACTAGTAGTTTTCCCTGTTCACAGATGACAAAACAGCCTGAGAGAGTTAAGCAACTTGGTCAAGGTCACATAGCTAAGAAGAGAGAGCCTGGAATTGAACTAAAGGTCTAACTCCAGACTTCTGCTCTACCTCATATAAATCTGCTAAAGAAAACAAGATAGCTGCAGAAAGGTAAGAACAATTATCCAAAGCTGCTCTCCCTGTAGGTCCTTCAACATTTAGGTATGTGCTTTTCTTTCTTCAAAAGTTGCTTTTATTGTGAATCTGACATGACTCTACAGGATCATGCATCAAACATACATACAGCTCAACAAATTACAAAGCTGATGCCTGTGCGACTACAGTCCAGGTGAAGAAAATAAAACTCTGCCAGCACTCCAGGCTCCCCTTCTCAGTCACTGCCTTCACCTTTCCTTCATTAGGGAGCTGCTATTTTGACTTTTCTGGCAAATAAGACTTTCCCTTTTTAGATTGATCACTTAAATATAGATCCCTAAATACTATAATTTAGTAAGTTTTAGGCTTTCATATAAATTGAACTATACAGTTAGCATTGTACACTTTTGTGATAGGCTTCTTTCTGCCTTACGATGAAGTCATCACTTTAGTGTGCTGTGTGAAGTTCATTCATTGCTATATCGTACTGTATCATAAAAATACACTGCAGTATATCTAGTGTGTGGTTGATGACCGTCTGAGTTATTTCCAATTTCAAACTATTGTGGATGGAACACTCTAATTCATATATCTGTCTTTCATTGCTTGTGGGAGTGTTGTGTTTCTGGTAAGTATATACCTAGTTACTGAACTGTGGATGCATATATTCAACTGGAATAATTAAGACCAAATATTTTCTCCAGTAATTGAACCAATTTATACTCCTAGTCGTGTGTGAATTCCTGTTGGTTTACATCCGTGGTGACGCCTGACATTATTAGTGTTCTTAATATTTAGCTATTCTGGTGGGTGTTTTTAGCCATTGTGGTTTATCATTGCATTTCTCTGGTGACTGATCATATTGATCCTTTTTCATATGTTTGGACATTTGAATATCCTCTCTTTTGAAGTGTTGGTTCATTTTTTATTTTTCTACTGCAATTTCTGTCTTTTAGTGCTGTGTTGATATTCTCTATTCTAGATAAGAGTCCTTTGCTGGTTATTTGCATGCCAAATTGCTTCCCTTATTCTGTCTGGCTTGCCTTGGTACTCTTGAAAAACAGAAATTCTTAAAGTTCTTCAAGTTTTTTGAGGAAGTTAAAGCTATTTCATTAAATTATGTTTATATACATATATTCACAGACTTACATATTCAGTTTTGAGAATTGTGTACATCTGTGTTACTGTCACCCCATCTAATGTACAACCCATAAAGTTCCCTGGTACCTCTTTCCAGGCAGTTCTTTACCTAGCTCCAAGTGGTAACTACCTTGAGATTTCTATCCCCGTAAGTTAGTTCTGCCTGTTCGAGAGTTTCATATAGACAGAATAAAAAGCATACACTTGGCCCTCCCTGGTGGTGCATTGGGTTAGGATGTAGCACTGCAAGCTCCCTGCAGCGGCTTCAGTGTGAGTTCAATCCCTGCCCAGGAGGTGATCCACGTGGCACAGCAGGCCTCTCCAATCTCTCTCACAGCTCCCCTCAGTAGTGTACTTCGTTTATCTGCCTGTTCTGTTCCCTACTCTGTGTGGTGAATCTCTCTCATCACCCCTGCACCTCTGGCCTGTACCCCAGTTCTGTATGCATAAAAAAATAAAATAAAAAGTATATATTCTTTTATGTCTTACTACTTATTTTGGTCAACATAACCCTTTTATTTTTTGTTTTTAGGCTTACCCATATTGTATTATCAGTGGGTTATTTTTATTGCTGGAATATTCATTGAACTAGCAGACCACAGTTGCTTATTCATTCTTTTGATGACTACTTGTGTTATACCTGGATATTTAATGTTTTACATATGTAAAACATTTACGTTTCTGTAAATTTATAGATACAAATCTATGTTTTACATACATAAAACATAGATCTATATAGATATCTATAGATATAGATTTATGTATTTTACATAGAAAACATTACATTTTATTTTATTTTTATATTTAATAATTAAGACAGGAAAAGACATAATTATGTTAGAATTTTGAGATAATTTTTGTTTAATACACAGTTGTAAAAAACAATAGAGAGATACAATATATTCTCTAAACATTTTTCTCTCCATGATAACATTTTGCAGAACTATATTGCAAAATCACAACCAGGATTTTACCTCGATTCAGTCATGATATGGAAACTTTCTGTCAGCTCAAGTACCCCACTTGCTGCCTTTTGATAGTCACTCCTTCCCCTACTCAGCTGGTCCCTCACTCCTGGCAACCATTAACCTGTTCTCCATTACTGTTATTTTGCCCTCTCGAGATTGCCACACCGATAGAATTAGCTCGCTATTTATATATATGTATTTTTTAAAAAAAGATTTATTTATGCATACAGAACTGGGGTACAGGCTAGAGGCCTGGGGGAAGGGGGGTAGAGGAATCACCAGAGGCAATGTGTTTTTTTTTCTTAACATCGTTATTCTCAGGTATAATCTCCATAGACATCCCACCACCGAATTATGCATGAACTATCACCATAATCTGTTTTGCTCTTTTGGCCTCTGTTCTGATCCTTCTCCCTCTCCCTCCCCTACTGAATGTCTCTGATTTCTCTTTTGCCTGCTAATTTTTTTTGCCTGAACCCCTTATTTGGTTCCCCTATGTTCCTTCTGTAGGTGATACCATCCAGTATTTTTCTTTTCCTTTCTGACGTATTTCACTTAGCATAAGCCCTTCCAGCTCCATCCATTTTGTTACAAATGGCATGAGTTTATCTTTTTAACTGATAAATAGTATTCCATTGTAGAACTAGCTTTTTTCATTTAGGGTAATCCTCTGGAGTCATCCACGTCATTGGAACTAGTAGTAGTTCCTCCTTTCGTGTTAAGTAGTATTCAGTGAGATTGCTTTACTATGTATTTTGTAATCATTCACCTATTGAAGAATATCTGGATTGTTTCTAGTTTTTGGCAATTATGAATAAAGCTAATGCAAACATTCTTCATATTTTTGTGTGTGTGAACATAGGTTTTCATTTCTTTGGGACAGATGCCCAGGACTGTGATTGTTGCTCATATAGTTGTTGCATATTTAGCTTTTTAAGAAACACTTGAGTGTTGTGTAGAGTGACTGTCTTATTTTATATTCCCACAGCAACATGTGAATGATCCAGTGCTTCTCCATCCTTGCCGACATTGGACATTCAGTGTTGTACTGTTTTTTTGCTTTAGGTGTGTAGTGACATTGTGGTTTAAATTTCTCTTTGTTTATATAACCATGTGCTTGTCATCAGCTTATCTTATTTGGTGAAATGCCTCATCATAACTTGGCCCAGATTGTAATCAGTTCACTTTTTTTTTCCTGGTTAAACATAAGTTTTTTATTCTAATACAATGTAACATAAAATTTATCATTTTAACCATTTTAAGCTTACCTGTCTAGTACTTGCATTCACACTTTTGTGTAACCATCACTACTGTTTCCAAAAGTTTTTCATCATCCCAATAGAAACTCTGCAATCACTAAGCAATTAGTACCCACTTCTGTAGGTTATCCACTTTTGTATCCTTTAATCTACTTTCGATCTGCATGAGTTTGTCCATTCTATATAATTCACATAAATGACACTAAACAATATTTATTATTTTTTGGTCTGGTTTATTTCACTTACTCTTTTTCAAGTTGTAGTATACATTAAAAAATCCAGTTCTGTATATGAATGAATAATATTCCACTGTATGTCCACACCTCATTTTGTTTATTCATTTTTTGGTGGCCCCTTTGACTGCTTCCCCTTTTTGGATATTATGACTACTGCTGTAGTTGACCTTGGCAAACAAATAACCAAGTCCTTGTTTTTGATTGTTTTGGTTATATACCTAGGAGTAAAATTGCTGTGTCATATGGTAGTGCTATGTTTAGCTTTTTGAAGAATTGCCAGAGTATCACAGCAGCTGAACTATTTTTACATTACAACAGGCAATGCAAGAAGGTTCTAACTTCTCCACACCTTTGCTAGCACTTGTTAGTTTCTCTTTTTCCCTCCTTCCCTCTTTCTCATTCATTTACATCCCAATAGGTATAAAGTGGTGTCTTATTGTGGTTTTATTTGCATTTCCCTAGTAAGAATGTTGAGGGTCTTCCTATGTGCTTACTGGGTATTTGTATTTCTCTGGAGAAACAGGTTACTCAAGTTCTTTGTTC